CCTTTACGCCATCCCTTTTCATCATCTCCTTTTCCATCATCTACAACTAAACACCATTCCGCTCATGTTCCCTGTTCATCTAGCAGTATGCCAAGCAGTATATCACGCCCAATTTCAATCCATCACCATCCCACTGCCGCAACCTCAGACGTGTCCCTTAAATCTGTTGCTGTTTCAGCCTGTACTACCGTTCCGTACGAGGATATAGATCAACCACCACCAATTCGTTCTCCTTCATTGTTCCCTAAACCTATCCTTCACTCAAAACAGAATTCCTGTTCCACTGAAGCCCCAATATCCAATTCCCAGTAATACTCAAAAACTAATTCCGCTTTCTTCATCTGAACATAATTGCCCTGCTGATACCCTTACCAAGAACCCTTCATCGGATATTGTTTCTATGGCTTGTAATCTTTCTGGAACCTCTTTACGGCCCCCTTGTTTACTGATTTTTCTAATGATGATCCATTCCTGATTTCGGTTCCAGTAACATTGGATACAAAGGCACGAATTGCTACCAGGAAAGTGTCTTTTGCAAGGAAGAAACAACAGCTTACACTCCAATTGAAAGAGGCTCAGTTTACTCGTGCAAAGAGGAGATTATTAATTGAAGAAGTAGAGGAGATTGCTGTGGAAACTCTGAATAAAAAAGCACGGATTGATTGCTCAGTAATGGAGACTGACTCACTTTGGACAACCACATGTTCTAATGATAATGTTTCTCAACCTAAGGAGGCGGAGATTGGTGTAGATAGCCAATCCCGCCAACAGAAGGGAGTATAATCATTTGGAATTGTCGAGGGCTTGGGAACCCTTGTACAATTAAAGAGCTTCAAGAGTTTCTTCGAATTAAGTCTCATGATATTGTATTTTTAATAGAAACTATATGCTTTATTCCTTAAATTATGAATATTAGAGATCGTTTGAAATTAGATGGTGTAGATATTAGTAGTAATGGTCGACCAGGAGGGTTCTCTTTGCTATGGAAAATATCTGTAAAAGTGGATTTAAGAGGTATCAGTCAACGTTTTATTGATGTTGATGTTGAATTAAATTCTGTATCATTCAGATTCACTGGAATTTACGGAGAACCTGATTTGGCAAAAAGAGGTTAGCATGGCAGCAACTAAAAACTCTCTATACTTCGCCTGGAAATCCATGGTTGTGTATGGGGGATTTTAATGATGTTCTTCGTCAAGATGAAGGTCAGGGTAGAACTAGAAGATTTGATTGGCAAATTGATGCATTTCAATCCTTTCTTCATCATTGTAATCTGACTGGCTTAGGGTTTCAAGGTCCTCAGTACACATGGAGCAGACTTTCTATTGAACCTTTTACGCAACGTAGCAGGCTCGATAGATGTGTTTGTAATGATGCTTGGAGGTCTGTTTTTTAATCTCAAAGAGTAGGTTATTTGCCTACTTTGTATTCTGATCATGCCTTGCTTCATCTGAATGTTAAATTGAAGTCTCAACACATTCATGTTCGTCGTAGAAAACTATTTCGATTTGAAGCATTATGGATCAAATCGAAGGAATGTGAAGCTATTATTAGAGATTCTTGGGAAAATAATGATTTTGAGTTGCCTGATAAAATCCATGATTGTGCTATTGGTTTGATGTCTTGGGGTGGTAATCTTGTAAGAGGAGTGCCAAAAAGAATTGAAATGTTGAAGAAAGAAATTGTGCTACTAGAGCAAGGAGTCATAACAGATATAGTGAAGTCTGATATTTGCAAAGAAAAAAGGATGAGCTTGAAGTCTTAATGGATCAGGATAATCTGAAATGGAAGCAACGTGGGAAGCAACATTGGTATAAGGAGGGTGATTGAAATACTAAATAATTTCATTCTCGTGCTAATAAAAGAAGGGAAGTCAATCATATAGCTTCTTTGAAAGATGATCAGGGGAGAGATTGCTATGCAAAAGAGGAGTTAGAGAACATCATCAATGGTTACTTTTGGGAATTCTTTGAAGCTAGTGACCGTTCTGAATCTGACATTCGACTTGCCCTTGGCAGGATTAGCCCACTTGTGAATACGGAAATGAATAATCGTTTATTGATCCCTTTTAATGATGCAGAAATTGTCAGAGCTCTAAAACAAATGAGCCCTTTCAAATCTCCTAGCTCTGATGGTATGTCCCCAATTTTTTTCCAAAAATTTTGGCACATTGTAGGTTGTGAAGTTATTCGGTTTGTCTTAAATCTTTTAAACAATAAAACTATTAGTACCTCAATTAATTTCACTTATATTCTTCTCATTTCAAAAGTCAAAAAACCTGATTTTATAACTCAATTTAGACCAATTAGCCTTTGTAATGTAGTTTACAAATTAGCTTCTAAAGTTCTAGCTAATAGAGTCCAAACTATCCTTCCATCAATCATTAGTGACTCTCAAAGTGCTTTCATTCCCGGTAAGCTTATCACATACAATATTTTGGTTGCTTATGAAACGCACCTCTACATGAAATCCAGAACATCGGCGAAATTAGGTCTAATGTCATTAAAATTAGATATGAGTAAGGCTTTTGATCGAGTGGAGTGGTCTGTTTTATTTGAAATTATGAGAGCTTTAGGATTTCATTCCTCTTTTATAGACTTAATATATTAGTGTCTTGCTTTTGTGTCTTTTTCTTTTTTATTGAATGGTTGTCAGTTCGAAAACCTCACCCCTGAAAGAGGTATCCGACAAGGAGACCCACTGTCTCCTTACCTTTTTATTAGATATTCAGAAGTATTCTCATGTATACTTAGAGACTTGCAGGCTTGTGCGAAAATTCATGGTGTGGCAGTGAGTCGAAGTGCTCCTTCTATTTCTCATCTATTTTTTGCAGATGATACATTATTATTTGGCCATGTAACGGAGGAGGAAGCTATGCAATTTAAGTATGCAATTGACCTATATGAAAGAGTATCAAGCCAGCGAGTTAACCATGATAAATCAGGGGTTATTTTAAGTCCAAGCACGAATGTGGATATGCAGCAAAGGATTATCTCAATTCTAGGTTATCAAAGATTTGAAAAAACATGATAAATACCTAGGGTTGCATACTGTTTCGGGAATAAGTAAGAAGGATCTTCTTGACCAAATCACAGATCGTGTATGGAAATGTGTCTCTGTATGGAAACTGAACCATGTATCTCGTGGACGAAAGGAAATTCTTATTAAAAGTGTTCTTCAAGCCGTTCCTACTTACACTATGTCATGTTTCAGATTATCGGATTCGGTTATTCAAAAACTGAATTCAATGTGTTCTGGTTACTGGTGGGGTGATGTTGGAGATAAAAGGAAGATAGATGGGTGAAATGGAGTACAATGACACAACCAAAATCGACTGGAGGAATTGGATTTCGAGACTTGGTGAAGTTTAACTAAGGTCTCCTAAGTAAACAGGCATGGCGCATTCTTGTCAACTCGGGTTCATTACTTGCAAGGATTCTGAAGGCAAAATACTTTCCAACTCAATCTTTCCTGGATGCTACACTTGGAAACGCTTCTTCATTTACTTGGTGTAGCCTAATGGAGGTAAAAATACTTTGCTTCTGGGCTGTCGCAAAAGGATTAACTCTGGCCAAAACACAAAAATTTGGATGGACCACTGGATTCCTTGCACTGCTGACTTTCAGACACATAGTGCTTATTCTGTTCTACCCCCTAATGCGGTTGTTGCTGATTTAATTGATCATGATACAGGTAGCTGGAGGACTGATTTAGTTTGTAGAATATTCAACCCTTAAGAAGCAGCCAGCATACCTGTCAATTATCCCTGGAAATTCAGCTGTAAGTGACAAATGGATGTGGCATCATTCACCAAATGGAAGATTCAATGTTAAAGCTGCATATAATTTTGTCATCTGGTGATACTTCATTTTGGACAAAGTTATGGAAATTGAAACTTCCCATTAGAATCATTCATTTTCTTTGGCGCCGCTCAACTGACACTCTCCCTTGTTTGGAGAACTTGGAAAAACATGGATGCTTTCTGAATTCTCCTTGTTCTCTATGCACTTCTGGTGCCCCAACGACTCTTCATACATTTGTAAATTGCTCCTTTCCGATGCAAATGTTGTCTGTTGCTGGCATACGAGATGAAATCTTGTGCGTCAACAAACACGGTGGGACTTAATAGTAAGAGAAATTATCGTGCAGTGTGAGGAACCATTTGCTGAATACTTTGGTGTCCTTTGCAACATGTTGTGATACACCCATAGTGACAGCTTATTCAACAACAAGTTAACTTATCCAAGAAGCCTCGCAACAAATGATGCTACTTTACTAAGGGATTTCAGGTTAGCAAATAACCAGCCTGAAAAATTCGTCGCTTTGAGATCAACGCATTTGTTTTGGCCATAAAATATACAAACTTGTATATATTTTGATGGAGCTATCTCTCGGGTGAGAATTTGTAGCAACATGCCTTTATGTTCGTGATCAGCAACAAGTATTTATAGCAGCAAAGAGTCGCTGTATGCAGGGATTTCGTTCTTCTGAACTGGCGGAAATGATGGCGTTGAAAGATGCACTCTGTTTGATGAGAGACCTTAATCTCAACAATGCTACTATCATGGACGATTCTTCTATAGCTGTTTTAGCAGCCTTAGGAGAGGCAAATTGCCCGTCTCTTTATTTACCAATATTGTTAGAGATAAAGCAGCTATTATTCAATCTCTCTTTCAAATCCATCTATTGGATTCCACGATAAGAAAATCAAGGAACTCACGTGATAGCTGCTTATGTTAAATCAAATGGAACTAATGAGATAACTTGGTCCTCCCGACCGAGTTATTTGTATCATTCAGGGCTGCCTGATTTCCAGCAAGTTTAACATATTCCTTATTTTCTCAAAAAGTAGTGTAATAAGACATATGTGACTAATATTGCATGGGACGATTTTCTCTCTTTGAAAAATGCTGACGTCATAACGCTCTCTCCTTTCTCTCAGTTTCTGCAAATTTGACGCCAGAATGCCCAGAGGTCGGAGCAGAGGTTAGTGTGTGACGATGAAACCAGAGGAATTAAGCAGTAATGAGAGCGGAAAACAACAACTAACTCAGATCGGAGATGGGAATCGAAGCACAATGATGAAGGAAACCCAGTTGAAGGCTGGGACGATTGTAGAGATGGAGAAGATTGGAGAGTTGAAGGGAACACCCAGGGGCTCGCATAAAGCGATTTCCAGCGGCTCAAAACCAGTAAGGTCCTCATCTCCCTTGGATTTAAATTCTAGGGTAGGGAAAAGGAATGAATCTAGTAGCTGTGATGAGGTTGAGGGGAATACTGTGAAAGGAAAGGGGGATTCAGAGAAAGGTGCTGATGTGGGATGGGCTTCATTTGATTTGGGTAAATTGAAATCTGGTGGGCCAGAATGGAACTTTGTAGAACCAATCCTAATTGAAAATGACAGAGTAGCCCTAATTGCACAAACTGATGTTGAATCGGAAATTGTTTATTGTAAGCACTCGATTGTTTGCTTTGTACTGGGAATCAACCTACCCTACCAGGTCATGACAAGATTCTTATATCGAATTTGGGGGAAAATAGGGGTTGAAAAGATACTCAGTAGGAAAGAGGGTTACTATATAGCTCAGCCGAAGAATGAACATGCTAAGCAACAAGCTCTGGAATCCACACACCATTACTTTAGTAAGCCACTTGTAGTGAAGGATTGGGAAGTAAAAAAGGAGTTCAAAGTGAAGGACATTTTCAGCGTACCAGTTTGGCTGCAACTGCGTGACTTAGAACTCAAAGTATTGGAGCCCAAGTACACTGAGTAAATTACTGAGTGCTATTAGAAAACCAAAGAGAATGGATGACTTGACATATAACAGAATGAGGGCTGGGTTTGCTAGAGTCTTAGTAGAAATGGAGATTCAAGAAAGTGCACCCGAATTTGTGAAGTTTGTGAATGAAGATGGATGCTTGCAAGAACAGAGAATCGTATATGAGTGGAAACCAGTTGTATGCACCCAATGCAATGGCTATGGCCACACAAGCAAGGAATGCAAAGTTTCCATGAAACCTAACTGGAAACAAATAGAACCAGGATCCAGTGAGGTGGTTGATAAAGTGGAACTGCTCCATAATTCAGATACAGAGGAACAGAAGACTGGTGACAACACAGGGAAGGGTAAAATACAAGAGGACGATGCGTTGGCTCCAGAGAAGAATGACAATCTAAAGGGAGTACACAAGCTGAATCCTCAGAAGGAGAAAAAAGAGAAAAAAATGGAAAGCAAACAGGGGATAAGTGTGAGGGAGAATAGTTATAAGAAAAAGGCCCAGGAGGAACTGTTATGATCTTGAGGAAACAAAGTGCCAGCAACATTACAGAAAGGAAAGGGGGTGAAGCTGAGGAACCAGTGGATCCAGGACCTGATCTTTAATGAGTAATGTCATGATTTGGAATATCAGAGGGTTCAACAGCCTTCTAAAACATCAGGAGCTAAGTAATATTATTAGAAGTCACAAGGTGGGGATTGTAGGGGTTGTGGAAACAAAATTAAATAGATAAAGGTGTAAGGAGGTGATGAGATGGTGGACGGAATTTGACTGGGTTGAGAACTCAGTACAAAACCAGAAGGGTAGAGTATTATTGATGTGGAAAAAGGGGGAATTTAAAGTCGACGTTCTCAGAATTAAATAGCAACTTATCCACTATAAGGTTGAAGAACTAGTGGAACGAAGAGAGCATGAGATGACGGTTGTGTATGCAAAAAATACACCGGGAGAAAGAACAATACTGTGGCTGGAACTAATGCAACTACAAAGGAGTGGTAAACCATGGATCATTGGGGGTGATTTTAATTGCATCCTCAAGAGTGAAGAGAAATTAGGAGGCAACCTTTCAAAGCTCAAGAAATGGAAGAGTTTCAACAGGTTTTGGACGCTTGTCAAATACAGGAAATCACAACTCAAGGGGGATACTTTACATGGACAAACAAACAGTTGGGGGACAGAAGGATTTGGTGTAAACTTGACAGATTGCTGGGATCTGATGAATGGATAAGTTAAAACAGTGATGCGTATTTCAATGTTTTAAATGCAGGTGTTTCTGACCACTCCTCTCTGGTACTACAATGGGCTCCAAGAGAAGTGAAAGGAAGAAAACCTTTCAAGTTCTACAATATGTGGATAGAACAGCAAGAGTTCAAGGATATTGTGAGAAGGATCTGGTCGACTCAGGTTACTGGTACCAAGCAATACCAACTGGTAATCAAACTTAAGATGCTGAAATCCCCTCTGAAAGATTTGAATAGAAGAAAATTTAATTACATTGAAGGGAGGTACTATGAAGCACATGAAAGATTAGAGAAGATTCAGGCTGAACTGCAATCAAACCAAGTTGATACTAACCTACAGGAAAAAGAGAGAAGCGCGGTGGAGGAGTATGTTAGAACTGTAAAAGCTTTGATGAGTTTAGAGCTGAGAGCTAAAGAAAGATGGTGTCAATACGAAGGCAAGGAGCAGAATCCTGTCCTACCAAACAGACCAAGGGGAGGTGGTGGAAGAGTGGTAAAAGATGGAGGAACACTTATGTACAATACTTCCAGCAATTATTGAGGACGGATAATCAACGAATTGTAGGCAAACCACAGGTGTATGAGCACGGCCCCAAAGTTCAGCTCTCAGACCAAATTATGCTGTGCAAGGAGTTCTCAGTTCAGGAAATCAAAACAGTGATGTATTCTATACACCCCAACAAACGCCCTGGCCCAGACGGGTTCGGGAGTGGCTTTTTTAGGGCTTGCTGGGATATTACTGGAGAGGATTTCATCGCTGCTGTGCAGGAGTTTGGAGCTGGGATGCTAAAATAGGTAAATAGTACCCTAATCTTGCTAATCCCGAAGTGTATATCACCAAGGGATGCTAGCGAGTTTAGATGTATCTCTCTCTGTAATACACTATATAAATGTATAACGAAGATTTTGAGTTAAAGGTTGAGTAGAGTTTTGCCAGTTATTATTAATCAAAACAAACGGGCTTTTGTAAAGGGTAGATCTTTCAGAGATAATGTACTCCTCACCCAAGAGTTGGTTAGGCTATATAGACGTAAAGATGTTAGCCATAGATGCCTACTTAAGGTGGATCTTAGGAAAGCTTACGATAATGTTAGCTGGGAATTCCTCCATGAAGCATTGACAAGGTTTGGATTTCCATTGAGGTTTATCTGGTGGATAATGTAATGTGTGACAACTAGCACATTCTCCTTAAACCTTAATGGGAATCTAGTGGGATTCTTTAAAGGAAAGCGTGGAATTAAACAAGGATACCCTGTGTCCCCCTTACTGTTTGCTGTTGTTATGGAGTACCTTACCCGATTACTTAAGGAGGAGATTAGAAAGGGGACTATCCAGTTTCACCCTCAATGCAAAAATTTAGAGATAGTGAACCTCTGCTTTGCGGATGACCTAATAATACTCTATAAAGCAGAGAAAAACACTGTCTCAACTGTGATGAGGAAACTGGAAGAATTTGGAGCCACTACTGGGCTGTATGCAAACTGGAAAAAATCCCAGATGTACTTGGGGGGAGTTTCGGATGCAATGAGGGCTAGGATTGTGGCTTGTGTGGGATTTGAAACGGGTAGTTTTCCAATGAAGTACTTAGGGTTTCTGTTATCACAAGGAATGTGGAACCAGAATGATTGCCAAGGATTAGTAGATAAAATTACTGTTCGGTTGAGAAGTTGGGCTTCACGACACTTGTCGTACATGGGAAGATTACAACTGATTAACTTAGTACTAATGCATATGCATACGTACTGGGCATTGGTGTACTTAATCCCAAAAAGTATTGTGATGCAGGTAGAGAGGCTGTGTAGGGAGTTTCTCTGGGGAAAGAAACCTTGTGGTAAAGTTATCTCTCTGTTTCCTTGGCAGAATGTTTGCAAGGTAGAGAAGCAGGAGTATTGGGTATAAAAAATTTTTGAATTTGGAACATGGCTGCATTGGGGAAACATGTTTGGGAGTTTGCCAGAAGAAAGATACCCTCTCGATCAGGTGGATGCAAGGGGTTTATTTGAAGCAGAAAGATTTCTGGGAGATACGGGCAATCCAGGACTCTAGCTGGCATTGGAAAAAACTGCTGGGGATCAGAGATAATCTACAGGAAGGATTTAGGGATAACAAATGGAAAATTCATCAGGGTGGGCAATATAGTTTCTCATCAGGGGTGCAGTTCCTGTCAGGGAGATTATCTAAGAAAAAGGCATCAGTTGTCATCTGGAATAGACTTAACGTGCCTAGACATTGCTGCAATCTGTTGTTGGCGTGGTAGGCAGATTTCTCACTAGAGATCGACTCGTGCATATGGAAATGGACTTGGAAGAGTGTCCCTGTCCAATCTGTCATCAGAATGTGGAAACAGTCGACCATGTCTTTTGATACTAACTTGCAAAAGAAGTGTGGTTGAAGGTGAGAAACTGGATCACATTTCCTGAATGTTGGTTGAGGGGATGAAACTGGAGCAGAATGACGTATGCTTGGAAGGGAGAAGCGCCTGTCAGAAGGTGATTTATGCTGTAATTGCTGTAGGATATTACCACATCTGGAAGGCCAGAAACTAGTCAATGCATGAAGAGATACACAAAACAGTGGAGCAGATTTTGGAAGACATCAAAAGAGAGCTGAAATGGCGGGTGAGAGGGAACCTACCTAGTGCAACAGCAAATGAGCAGTGCTTTTTGAAGTTCAAAGGCTTATGGTAATATGTACTAAGGCTTAGGAGTCTGCATTTTGCAATTTTGATAACAAAGCAGTATTGTATATTTGTAATATTGCTAGGTAAATATAAATGGGTGTAAAATGTGATTTTTTGGATGTTGAAGTGAAATATAATTTACATTTTACCTAAAAAAAATTGCATGGGACACTATAAAAAAAATATATTTACTATAATAGTCATAATAAGTCAAGATATATGAAAGTATTTTTTTTAGATATTTGAAAGTATATTATTGGATTATAATTTAATAATATACTTTAAAGTGACCCATTAAGTAACGCAATAGTTCACAAACAGCTCAAATAATACATTTCCGATAATGTTGATAATATGAACACATTGTTTCATTTTTCAATAAAATATCTTTTTAGCAAATGTCCTAATACATAAATAATGAGACACATATTAGGAAAAGTATCCTACTATAAACACATTATTAACCCTTACTATTTGTAGTGAACAACAATTTAAATCTCCAAGTTAGTTACTTTCTAAGCTTCATTCAATACAGAATATCACGAGACACATGAAATAGTTAAGAGATTATTCTTATCTTTTGTCTTTTAAGAAAATAAAAAGGTCCTCGATGCCCATTCTTAATCAGTTCTTTATGCTTTTTCTCCAAAATATAACACAAATACACAACACGGCAAGTCAGGATGTATGCATGCATGATGTTAGTAATTTGACCAATCAAAGTCTCCCAACCAGCCAAACAATTAATACCAAACTTTCCATTACGATTAACCCTCCATTAACACTGCCCATTCCCCTTGTTCCCATTTTGTCAATGCAATCAACCTAAAAACAGCGCTAATTTCCCTAACTCACTCAACTGGATATAAAAACGGATAAACTACTGACATAGTTTTACTAATAATAGATATCTACCCTCTGAAAAGGTTAACTAAACCATGACAAAACATGTCAATATTTACACGAAAAGGAATTAAGGATTCATAAGTTGAATTACAAGTGTTCTTTAGATTGCGTGGGCATCAACTTTTGCATTTTTCAGCCGCAAACTCCAAACATTTGGCTTTGATGTGTCCCTTTCAATAACTTCTTGTTCGGTCATAGGTTTGTACATTCGGAAAAATCCTTTACAATTCTTATCATTGTTCTTATATTGGAAAAGGAAAAACCTTAATCTTAGGCTTTTTTGGCTAGATCCCTTGCGAACAAAAGTTCATTGTTTTTCCTTCAGATTTGCTTTTCTTTTTTTGGGGTATGCACATAAGCTAAACTAAATTGGCAAATTATCAAACAGAGTCATTGTCGTTCATCGGTCCCTCGAAAGGATCATTTCGATAGGGGGAGCCATAATTAACATTCAAAAAGATTTAAACTTATTAGTCAATAAAATGTCAAGTAACATCTAATCTGTTGAGCAATGAATACGTAGGAAGAAACAAGGTTCAACTCCACTGCCTATACTTATTTTTAAAGTTTCAATGGAAAAGGCAAAAACTAATAAAAGTCAGTTTAAAATGAAATGATTATATATTAGGGAATGTTCTGGTCATAGAGTGTCAACTGTATTTGTGTGTTGGTAAGCAAGCATAAAAGCACTTACTTGACCATATTAAATTTTCCAAAGTTGAGAGATACCTGAAGCAAGAGTCAACCTACCCGGCTGGGATATTTGATTTACTATAATATCTCGACTAGAGTCAACCTCTGCCGTCCCATTTCTGTCTACTCTTTTTCCATCCATTTCCCAATTAGTCCTTTGAAAACATTCTTAATCAAAGTATTAGTCTCATGACCACTACTATTAGAATTTCGTTTCTTCTTCTTTCTCTTCCATTTTTTTTTCCCATCACCATTCCATTTTGGAAGCATATTTTGGGCTATAAATATGTGGGGTAAATTATGATCCAAAATAACCATTCCCATTTTTAACTTGTTTGTTAGCCTTCTCAACTTACCTCTCAATTTCGGAATTCTCCTTTTTCTAAATTTTTATCCAATATGAAAATGCTTCTACAACACTTCCTTCTTGTCACAATGATCTTCACTGGTTCGGTGTATTCCGGTTCGTGTCTTGATCCTAAACTTCATGCAAATGATAAGAACGGAAATCTCATTTCCTCTGCGAAACTAAGTCGTCGCCTAATGAGTGTTGATCATCATCAAGTTGAGAATTCAACAAGAAGAAAGCCTAAGAGCCAACCAAGATCATCTTCAACCCGATACGTGGTTAATGTCGACAACTTTGGAGCCAAAGCTGATGGAACTGATGATACGCAGGTACATTTTAATTCAAAAAATATTGCTTAAACCTGTCTGGACATGAACTCCATAGGCAAAAAACTTACATTAACTTCAAATAGTTTAGGCGTTCCAAGCTGCTGCATTCATGTTTACTTTTACATTAGCCACATTTACATTTATAAAAATTCAGACAGAAGATCTGTATTTCAATTATCGACATATCGGTTGTTCAAAACATGACGAAAAAAAAGGTGGAGTAGAATTGTAAAGATGTCGAAAACAAAAGGAGGGAAAACAAAAAGGATTTGAAAAAAAGAAAAACGTGTTTGAAATCATACCTATAACACACCTAAATCGTTGGTGCTGAACGTGCCCATTTTCATATTGACCATGCATGGTTGGCGGTTAGTTGCATGTTAAGTTTGGCTTTACAGCACCCCACAAGTATTGTCAATGGTAATAATATACGTAACACACGAAATCGTTCGCCCTTAAATTCTAATCTTTTTTCGTTCCAATATTATTGTCAAGAAACAATGAGATGCGGACATGTTTTTGAATTTTTCAATTAGGTTAATTACGACTTTTAATTTTGCTTTTCTTGACAGGCATTCATGAAAGCTTGGGACAAGGCATGTTCTACAAAAGGAAGCATTTTGTTAGTGCCATCAAGTAAAGTGTATCATCTTAAACAAATTATTTTTGATGGTCCTTGTCAGTCGGATATTACAATGAGGGTACGTTCCTTAATCACTGCACATATGTACATGATCATTTTTTTATTTAGAGAATATTTCCTGATTGGAATTGAATATTTTGGTGATGTTTTGATTCATAGATTCAAGGGAAAATTAGAGCTTCTACAGAGAGATCAGACTATGAGAAGGATCCAAGGGTGTGGATTAAATTTGAGAATCTGATCAACTTTAGTGTGGATGGTGGTGGGGTTATTAGCGGAAATGGACAAGTTTGGTGGCCTAAATCGTGTAAAATTGACAAGTCACAGGTCTGTGTGCTTAATTAACTTTTTTTTTTGTTAATCAGTTCGGTGCTACCAATTAAATAAGTATTTCTACAGATTTGAAACTTATTTAGTACCAAAAAGTGTATCAACATTAACAATAATATAATGGTGGACTTATATATTTGAATTATAACTCTCCATTTTCGAATTTCGTTCCTCCATTTACATACTTCTGAAAATTTATCATCTTATTTGTTAGATTTTAGCATCACAAACAAAATATTTATTCTGTGTCTAAAGAACTTCTAGTTAAACAAAATTTTGAGGTCACTAATATGTTTGTTTCTTTTTTTTCCCTTTTTTTTTGCAGCCTTGTATTGGAGCCCCAACGGTAAGCATACAACTCGATTAAAAATTAATTACCAATCTTATACGGTTTTCAAAGTAGCTGCGATTTTTTTTATTTTTTATTTTTTATAATAAAAGAGGCAAATGCCTAAAATATTAAGCTAGTACATTTCGCTGATAAGACATACCAATAATATCATGTTGAAACTAGAGTTTCACATCATTTGACGGATCATCGATAAGTAGCTGCGATTCTATATATTCATTTAGCTCCCTTTTCTTTTCGCCTTACTGCAGGCTGTAACATTTTCGAAGTGCACAAACCTCAAAGTGACGAATATTACGATTAAAAATGCGCAACAAATGCATCTCACATTCCACGAGTGTTCAAACGTTGAAGGATCGAATCTAAAAGTAAAATCCCCGGGAAAAAGTCCAAACACAGATGGAATTCATGTCACTGGTTCCACTAACGTTCAGATCCTCAATTCTGACATTGGAACAGGTACATTAACCTTGTTTTTCCCTTCACGAAAATTTTTTGTGATTCCACCATATTTTTGCCTTTTGATGCTTTAAATCTTTCATGCAACGTCATGCTAAATTAATTGATCTCTAAATAATACTACAATCGTTTCTCGGATCAATTGTGTCTAACTCCGAAGTTGAATTAAAGCTGGTTGACATAAATGACTTAAGGAATTGAAAAGAAAAAAGTAAAACTTATATTATAAAATATCAATTGCAGGTGATGATTGTATCTCCATAGTAAGTGGATCCGACAACGTTCGAGCAATGGGAATAAAGTGTGGACCTGGTCACGGAATCAGGTATATATTTCTCTTCCCTTTTAAAATTTTTATTTTATATGTATATGTATTTTCTTCTCGTCAACAGAATGATGATTAGGAGAGCATATTTCAAAAAAAATATTTCCTCTGGTCTTTAATATAAGGCATTTTGATTTGTCCTAAGTTTAAGCTAGTACATATTTTTGATTAATAAAAAAAGCTTAAAATATTTTATAACAATCAAGAAAATACAACGAAGTGACTGTGAAAATATATTTTTAAAGTTTTTTTTCTTCAATTAAATCGTATTAGGTATAATCTAAGACAAAATCAAAATGCCTTATATTTAGGACCGAGGGAATATTATAATTGCATATCAAATTGAATATACCTGTTTATAAAACTATATTTGCGATTTCAATATTGTATTATTCCATTGGGGGGATGGCTCTTGAAGTAAATGTATAGTTTTCTACTGTGCCATTATTTCGTAATAAATTTTACAATGGAAAATTACCTTTCCCTTTTGCTATTCTATTTTATGTAATTTGACCTTAGAAACTTAATTTTCAGCATTGGAAGTCTTGGAAAAGATGGCGCCGAGGACCGAGTCTCCAATGTATTGGTCAGTGGAGTCACATTTACTGGAACTACAAATGGAGTCCGGATTAAAAGTTGGCAGGTAATTCAAAACTTTAAACTTTGGTTTTTTAGTAAAATCTAGGAAAATATCTTGCAAACATCCCAAAATTGTAATAATTTGATATGGAAATTTACGAACACAGTGCTTTAGACATACTCAAATTAAAAGTCTCTTGTAAATATTTCCAAAAGTTCAATTAATTTAGGAATTTCGATATGTCTTTTTTCAATTTAAATTGGAGATATTCTTATTGCTAATCAACTATACATATCTTTTGCTTTTGTGCTTCTAAAGGGAGGACGAGGATACGCAAAAAACATTGTCTTCCAAAATATCAAGATGCTAAATGTGACAAATCCCATTATTATTGATCAATTCTATTGTGATAAAAAGGGGCACGACTGTAAAATGCAGGTAATTAACTCCTCTCTTCCTAGCTACCACAGTAAATTTAATTACTGATTTATTCCAGGGTTAAACACCAATCCCCCTCTGTGGCAATATTTAATCTTATGGTTTTTTAAATTCCAATTGCAGAACAATGCAGTACATATAGAGAATGTATTATACAAGAACATAATTGGAACAAGTGCATCAGATGAAGGGGTCATATTTCAATGCAGTAAAGCATTTCCATGTGAAGGTGTTAAGATGCAAAATGTTCAAATAAAGCACAATGGGCGCAGCAGCGTGGCTTCTTGTTCAAATGTCAATGTTCAAGAACTGGGAGCAAACACACCCAAATGTCCTAAACATTGAACAATTTACCATAGTGTATTAGCTGAATGAATAGTTGTTGAGCGGTTAGTGCTGTATGGGCCACCCCGACAAACTAGGAATTGATTAATTCTTACCGTATTACTTTTAGGTAGAAATACTTTAAAATGAAATATATGTTTGAAAAACAAAATAACTTGATGGAAATAGATATATAGTTGTAAGAATTTTTTTTACTAAATGCTATTGAAATTAATCGTGTTAGCATTGAAAACCGTTTATCTTCTTGGAAGCGTTAATAGTGGTTGTTTATTTTCTTGGTATGAAATTGAGACTATTATAATAAGAATCATATTTGACAGACTAAATAGCAATATTATATTACTATATATCTGACCGTGACATAGTAAAAAAAAATTTGTTGTTACCAACATGTAAGAACACACCGCTTAGTCGATGAAGTAGGGATCCATTGTGATTTTGGATGAATCAACTCAATTAACTCATTGGAAGAACGCCACAAATTTTACCAAAACTATATTATATCAATTATGGGCATAATAAGCAATTAAGCATAACTAAGATGCACAATTACTCGCTCCTCCTGAAATGTCGAAATAAAAAAGAGAAGGGTAAAACCTTGTAAAAATCCACCTTGAAACTTCAGCGTCCATAAAATGAACAAAGCCCCTCACTTTGACAATTATGATTAAATTGAAGCCCACCCAAAATCGCCAAACAGCGTTTTTAAGCCCGAAAGATGTAACTGTTATATTGGATGTCAAACTACATTCTATTTTGTCAAGTATCAATTAGCAATTTTAACCAACTTAACGGAAATGCAGTCAAAAGTTCACACTTAGATAGTGATTCTTCAGTGAAATCAGTATTGTTAAACTCGGCTTGGATCGCCCGGTCGAACCGGTTTAATCAGAAACCGAACCCCAATTCGAGCCAAGGAGGTCATAAATTCGACTATGCAAGATTTGGTCAAAATCAGTCAGAATTCCGGTTAAACCAGAAATTGGTCAAAATTGGGTCGACTCAAGTTTTTGACTTTTGAACTTGTTTTTAATGTTTTAATGTTTTTTCTGCACTACTTTTGAGATGTAATTATTCTGAATTTTATACTTTTAGTCCTCAACTACATTTTATATATTTTAAATGATCAATTACTTTATATTTATGTGATTAAACTCTACTTTTGAGATGTATTTGATATAATTTTTAACTTTTAACCCTCAATTAAATTCTCTAATTCTTAAATGACCCATAACTTTTATATTTTTATATTAAACTCTAAATTCCAAATGTGTAAGTTTTAAATTTAAATTTAACTATTCATCCAACATCACATGTATAATTTCACATTAACCATTATTTTGAACTAAATTAAAAAATTATAACCAAATAAATCGATAAATCATATGTTGTACTTTTCTTATAATCATAAAAGTCACTTGTATATAGCAAATTAATTAATTTCTAATTATAATAGAAGTTAATTTATACTAATAGTTCCATTAATGTCTTAATTTTGTCCCACCATAACTTATTTCATATTTATAAAACACTAATATGACTTTAACAACTAAGAAATATATATGTAATTTTATAAAATATATAATTATTAATTTATTACATTATTATGACGTCATCCGAGTCGACCCCCCGATTTGCCCCGAGTCGATCGGCCATGCCGAGTTGAGCTCCGGTCCGAGCCGGACAACACTGAGTGAAATAGTTCAGGGTGTGCCTTCCATATTCCCTTGTCAATTGCACCTTTTCATCTCTAGTGTTGGCTCCTATTGTTGGAAATGAGTAGTAAGTGAATGAGGATTAAGTTTCTCAAGCGTTGGAAAAATTAGAGTTAAGGTTAAGGGACTTTGTCTCATATGGATGTCGGGAAGAGTTGGAGGTTAGTTTATAAATGAGCCCAAAATTGACATGCAAATTGACTTGCCAATACTATATCACATCTCTCCTGCTCGCGTGCGCCCGCGCAGGGGGGAGGGTGCAAATGGAGGTCCGATTCGGGGCAGAAATATTTTGACTCATGTGTGCGCACGACCTGCGGACATGAATGCCGAACCGAACTCTAGCGGATCTGATCAACCCACGTTTTGCTCCGGTTCAAATTAATTTTTTCCAGCTAAAATTTTAACGTGGAGATTTATGTTCATTCATTTCAGTCAAAGAGAAAACTGAAACATTACAATTAAATATTGCTGCTGAATGAGCAAATGAATGGCGGATTTAATACTGTTTAAATAGCAGAATGAATTCTTTTGACTATTTGATTGTCAAAAACGTTTTGGCTATTTATGTGCTATGAATTCGTGACATTTAACAAAATTAAAACACCAAAAACCTGTTGAAGTTTTGCTGTCATTTCAAAGGTTTCTACATACTATAAATAGGCACTCATTTTCCAAAGTTCTACATATCAATCTTTCCTCCTCTTTCAGTATTCTTTCGAGCCTTTCTTTCTTTCACTTTTTGTTTTGGTGTTCATCATTGTGTTCTAAGTTTCGTTCGCTGGTAGACCTTCTTTGTGCTAAGTTGTCTCTACGTTTCCGTTGTATCCTGGGAAATGGTTGCTCGAGATCCTCAAGCACTATAAGAGGGGGCAAATCTGTTTCAAGGAGGTTTTGTTTTCACGAGCCTCGGATTTCTTTTTCTTCCTTTTTTCCTTAGCCTTTGCGAATACTACTCATATTTCGACCAACAATCTCCTTGAACACCTATTGTTGTTCCTATCACTACCAGTCTTATCACTTGGTGTCATCATTTAGGCCATCGTGGCTATATGTTGTTGTAGAAAAATTAATTAGAATTTCCATATTCCTTGTTCTCATTCTAATTTACTTGTCGAGTCTTGGTCAGGCTTGTTATTGAATTGGTTGAGGCCTTGATAATGGAATTTCAGACAAGCAGAAAAAAGTCTTTGGTCATTTCATACACTCCTGAAACTAAGAACAAAATCAAAAATCAATACGAGAAAACAGTAAGAGTTGGTTGTGTTTAGCACACAGCAGCACAACGCTATTATGAATTGTTCATTGAATTTGAAGTTCTTCGCATAAACAAAAGGCACAAAAAAATGCACAGGCCGGGATTCTGTAAGTCTTCTTTCATATGAGAAAGTTCCCTCAGTTCCTTATAATGCAACGGTAAACTATTTGCACAACTAACTTGTAGAACCTGACTTGAGCTAATTGCCAGTTCACCGAACTATTAACGTCAAATCTTGTTGATAACCTTATTCAGACAGTTTATTCTGAGCTGTAACCTTTCCTTAGTATGTACAGTATTAAGTATACTTTCATTGGCCACGTCTGATGAGGAATAATAGATGGAAATGACAATGAAGATCGGCCAATTCCGAACAATTGATAGCCCGCTGATAAATTGATGATTCCGTCTATGTGATGATGGGGTATATCATTTTTTCCACTTTCAAAATGCTGGTAGTTCTCGTCGAAAATATAAATAGTGATATGTCAGAATGCATCGTTAACACATACTATATATAAAGCATAGGCAGCGATAAATTTTCAATTTAACTGACAGGAAATTATATCGTCAGATTGCACAGATAATTAATTTCTGTCTTCAAAATTATTTTGTGTTTCTAACTTGTGCAAATCCATGACATCCATCCACATTTTATGCTTCATTCATTACATAAAAGTATTCCATATTTTAAATCTATTGTACTTACTTAAAGTAACAAAAATTCAGAACATGTGTTTTCACCACAATGAAAATTTTCCCTCTAAAAACTTTTTCAATACAAAAAAAGAGTTGCCAAAAGTTGACACGTGGCTTCTCTAGCTTTCAGAAAAATTTCAGTAATAAAAATCGAAAAAGAAAAATAAAATCTCTAATTTCCTTTTGCTCCCATAATTCACGTGAACAGATCAGATACAAAAAAAAATCTTAAACTTTAAGTCCCACGTTTCAATTTCAAATTGGATGATAAGTTTCCGATTTTAATTAAAATTCTTCTCTTCTGAGATGATACCTCTGTAAAAGAGCCGATCGGTATTCATCTTTTCTTAGAAAAAATTCATCTTCTTCATTCTGAACCTGTGCCCATTATCATTGTTGACTTGCTGCTGTTGCTAACGTCATCTGACCGGACAAATTCGTTCATATGTCTTCGCAAATCCAGTCAGCAAGGGGAGATTCGATTCAATCCAGCGAGGAAAGGGAGATTCGATTCGATTAAAGCAAAAGGAACAGGCAAGCAAAGGATTCGATTCAATCAAATCCTTTCTTTTCAGAGCATAATTTCGGTGACAGGCTAAACAATGATACAAAGACAGTTTCAGAAATTTACTTATGTGGGCGTGAAACCCTACTTCTAGACGTATAGGAGTGCCACTTTTTTTCCCATGGAAGCATATAACCTTCCCGCAATCAGAAAATGCGGAAATACGACAAAACCACCAGAGCCGATTGCGGATTTAATTAAAAACCACAAAGAGCGAATGCGGAAATAAAAACCGCAAATGTTGATTGCTGAAATCTTTCAAACTGAGGATTAAAAAAAATAAAAAATTATGCTTAGTTTTATCAACCACAATTAATTAATAAAAACCGCAACAGCAAAATTCGGAATCAAAATCACTGCAAGAAAGCTTTGCGAAAATAATGATGGATTGCGGAATTTATTATTTATAAATTTTTTAACTTAAACTGATTAAATTTTGGAGAAAATAGTGATTAATTATAGTTGATTATTTTGTTATGCTGATTGTCATCAAGAGCAAAAAATTAATGAAATTTTAGGAAGGGTATGAGTGCATAAATTAATCCTTTTTTGTTAAAAGGGGAATGTTTTTTGAAATGATGTAAATGTTTATTAAAATTTTATTAATTTTGTAATAGATATATTATAATTTTATAATCTAACCAATCTATTACAAGCCAAGTAAACAAATTAATACAAAAAAAAAGATAACCCAAAAACTAAATAACAAATTTGAACAGTAATAGATTGTACAACTTGCGCTGAAACCAGCACCAATACCACC